GAATTTGCCCGCGTGTCGATAATCGCTGTAAAAAGTAGCCTATGTTACTCGTGTACAATGTAGCTTCCCATTGGCTAAAGAATTTTTAAATTTGGTTTCGTAGTTTAGGCGTGAAAGCGTAAATAAACTCATATTTACATTTATAATATTAGTAACGATTACAAAAACTGAAACATAAAAACTCATAATCTTCAGGACAAATAATTGTGTGATGAGCGCACTTGATCAATTTAGAAAAAAAAGAGTAAAATAAGAAGCTCTATCATACAAAAGAATTGTTCTATATATAAAGAATTGCAAACAAAAGTAAATGATCAAAATACATAGGTTGGTTCAAATTCTCTCGTTTGACACCCAAAGGATTTCAGTCAGACAGAGGACAGTGTTTCTTCGTCATCTTCTTTGTCTTGGCAAATCCACCACATAACGTCATATACGTGAGTACAAAGATAATAATCAATATCAATTATGTGACCTTAGCCTCGAGAACCTTCTACCCGAGAAAATATTATGGATCACATGGCCAACCCTAGTAATAAAAGTTCGGTCACAATTCAGTTCCGATCAACTCTCGATCTTACAACTGTAGGTACAAAGTTTCAGTACAGATGCTTGGAGATCTATCAAGTACAAAAAAGCCTTATAATCTGCGCCGGGTTTCGAACCCTCAACATTAATGAACAATTGTGACATTTAAATAAACAAGGGGATTCATTACAATTAACTGAGAGTTGTCGTCAGGTTCTTATTAACTGCTGCGATTAGCCACAGGGTAACGCTACAATAAGTAACTGAAATCTTTAGCCCACAGACTTCGATCAACAATAGCAACTATTTACTTGCTATTGTTGATCGAAGCCCACAGACATATTATTGCACACCTTTTAGGGCAAAAGGGGGCAGAATGTCTGAAATGAGTCTGAAAAGGGTAGAATTTTAAAGGAAATCAATCGTGTCGATCTTGAGGTTACGTTGCAATATATCTGTAGTATTTGTAGGTTGTTGTTATTTGTAACATTGTTGTTATTTGTAGGTTGCCCCCACAGTGCCGAAAATTTATTTGGTCATGAAAGATTACTCTGCTATTCAGTCCTTAGATGGCACTGAAATGTGGTTGAGAACTGCAACATATTTGTCATCCTTTCATGTTTATCATAATTATGCATGTAAAGGAAGAACATAAAAATGCAAACACAACTGGCGGTAGATTGCACTGTACCCAGATAATTTCAATAAAACAGATTCTTAAGCAATGAACTTGATATTCTGTCGTCATAACGCAATCTTTAACGCAGCTATACACTGGCGGCTTTGGCCCCTACATGCCTACAAATCAGATGACAAATGTAATCAGAATGCAGTCCTTACAGTGTAACCTTCAGTGACGGTATTTTTCCACATGTATTACAGGTGTGTTTCATCAAAAAGAGAGGAGTCGCTCATTGCACAGCTTCAAGTCAAAATAGGATCTGAAACCTTCCAGTCGAATCTGTAAAAACGATTCGCAGCCGTAGAAACAACAACAGACTTAAACAAAAACCTCGAAAATGTGGTTCAGATCCTCAGGGAAGAATGTACGAGATTTTGTGAAATGCAGCGTAGGGGCGGGAAATCGAAGCTTTCGGAAAATACACTAGGATTAATGAAGGAACAACGAGAAAACCCACCTGTCACTTCGTCGGCAAAGCGGACTCGAAACCAAGTGATCAGCAAGCATGATCCAGAAAAAGACGACCCAGAACCGCATTAACGCGTCACTACACCCACGACCTGCCAGAACTAAGCATTGATGAAACCGAGAATGCAGTTGACAGATGAAAAATGGAGAAGCCCTTGGAGAAGGGCGCGTTACAAGAGAGTTGCTAAGGGCAGGAGGTAAAACCGTACTGAGGGAGCTCCAAAAGCTTTTTAAATCGGCCCTGTTTGGAAGGAGCAAGCTGGGCTTTGAAGCGGATATCATAAAGAAGACCCACCAGTCCCTGTGTCTAGCATTCGTGGACTATGAGAAGGCCTTTGACTCGATCGAAATCTGGTCTGTTCTGGAGTCAGTGGCGGATTATCCCTAAGGCAAAATAGGCACATGCCTAGGGGCGCGAGGTTACAAAGCGGTGCGCGCGCTGATTTTTTTAACAATAAAAAAATATATGCCTGATATTCCATACTTCACCATATAAGCAATCCTTTAATTCTATAGAGATATTTAAGGTTAACATCTAGGGTTTATTTTACGTAATTGCCACTACTTCTTCGCTATTCTTTTCTGATACCTACGAAAATCGAGGCTAAGGCTGAGTGCGTATACACAAAAATGCTATTGCTATTACTGCAACTGTAGTTGAAATTACTCTATAAGTTGTAGTAATAGACTAGGGTAGGGTTGTTCGGGTCATCATCATCATCAACAGCCTTTAATAGTCCACTGCTGGACATAGGCCTCTCCTTAGAAAGGAGGTTTTGGCCACGCTGGCCAGACGGGTTCGTATAGGGTTTATGTCAAGTTTTCCTTCTCTTTGTAGTGCTGTTGTCCTGCGTAGTTTGCTCCCCTAGTCGCCTCTTACGACACCCACGGGATGAATAGGGGTGGCGACACTCCGTATTCTTAATCCGTCACCACACGGACACGGGTTGTTCGGGTAATGGTACTATATGGTGCACCGGTGTAGGCGGAAGCTCTTACCGCCCAGAGTAAGTGAGGGTGTTAGAAGAGTTTCTAACACCCTCAGAGGGTGGTTGCGGAACTCTCCCATGGGATTAAGAGGCTAAAATTAGTGACCTTAAAGCCGCTCACCGCCACGATGACTCGTTGGTCGTCCCGGCTGGAGGCTCCGGGTACTGGGTTTGGCGCCGTGGAGGCGCTCCATCTGGTCATCGTATATTGGGCAGGGTGGCAGGATGGGACCCAGGTCCTTTTGTGGACGTTTGCTTAAGAAAGTACCAGCAGTCGATTGCTAGGAGTGATTTGAGTTGCGCCTGTCACCACTGTGAAAACTCGGCTTAGCACACAATGGTCAAAATAGCGTTAAGCGCTCATTGCAGTCATCGGAGAGAATTTTTGGCTACCAGCTGTTACACGCTCTATGGCTGTTACTGCGCCTTTAAGCGCCTCATGCCGCCCTTAGCGTGGTCGCAGGTGGACGGTTTTACCCCTCCACTCGCCTCGAAAGCCTTCCGCCAGGAGGTGACGTTCTCGTGTGGCGGACGTCTTCTATATGAGAGTTTTTCCCCGAAGGTGTTGATCGCGCTTTTGTAGGGCAGTCGCTAGGAGGACCGGAGGACGCCGGAGGGGTCCGGAGCCGTTATCTATCCAACTAGGACTAGTCTCGGTCGGCGTACTCGTAAAATGTCGTGCGGTGTTCCGCAGGGGTCAGTGTTAGGGCCGCTCCTGTGGAACATCGGTTACAACTGGGTGCTCCGCGGTGCCTCCATGTGCCACACGTTACGCGCCACGTGTTACACGGACGACATGCTCGTGAGGGCCTGTGGCTTGGTCTTGGGGTGTCTTTGCACACATCTCAGGCCTTTTTCCTTCTTGGTCGATATGGTCGATATTATCCTTCTTGGTCCTCGAGAAGGAGTGGGCGGAGCGGGAACTGAAGAGGGTTAGAACTCTTGTGGTCTGCCAGGCCCTGGAACCGACCAGGCAGGGGCTCAGGTGCCGGCGGTTGCTGAATGACCTCCATCCTGCATAATAGCAGGCCTGAGGGTAAGGCCATCTGTCACCTAAAAAAAGAAAGTTCCAGACGTTTTAATAAAAGCTTATATCGGATCCCTTCTATTTTAGGCGCATTTTATACAGTGTGGTTTTAGTAGGTTCGATTCATATACACCGCTCCACCGCAAACCCCGGTGAAGGGACAGCCCACTGGGGTTTCCACACGTAAAAAACAAAAGTTTTAGTAATGAAATGCAAACTATAATTTGGAGTTGTCACTATCACACATTTAGTAACATCATATAGTAGCTATTAATAATGTAGTATGTGCAATAGAGAGATGCGGGGAGCGCCGATAGATGCTTGCCTAGAGCGCTGTTAATACTTAATGTCTGGAGTCCCTGCAGCGTTGCCAAGTAGGGGGATGTCTCTACGAAGCCGCCACTATGTCTGTCAAAGTACAGCAATCAGCAAACAAGATTCATATCGTTACATCGAGGAGTAAGACAAGGGGGATGTTATTTCCCCAAAATTATTCACAAATGTAATGGAGGCCATGTTGAAGACATGAAAAACACCTCTCACTTGCAATTTGCAGACGACATCGTCATCATGGCAGAGACGCTGCAGGACCTATGCCGAATGACCTGGCTGACTCTTCTGTACGGCTGGTCCACAAGTTCAAAGTCGCTCAACGTGCTATGGAAAGGGCTATGCTCAGCGTTTCTCTAAGGGATCAGGAATGAGGTGATTTGGAAAAATATCAAGGTCATCGAGATACGGCGAGACCAAGGCTAGGTACGTAAAGTACGTAAGTACGTAGGTAGGTAAGCAAAGGCGGTACTAGAGTTGGCCGTATTGGCCTAACATGCCGCCTATCATAAGGTGATCCCACCGTCAGATATTATACCTACACCATAGGCGACTGATGTACTGCTTGTTTTTCTACTAAATTGGTTAACACTGCTTTCTTGCACACAATCAGAAAAATATAAATAAAACCAAAGAATGAAAAATTCTTATGTTTATTAAGATTCAATTGTATAAAAACGAAAACTAGGTATATCTCACAACAGCAGATCTTGACAAATATATATAATAATGGCACCGTAGAATTAAACTAGCACCTTAAGTTTGCAACAATCAGGTACCCAATTCTTCTGTCTAGTAAGTAGTAGACTGTAATAGTAGTGTACAATCAGGTACTCATGAGTTTAACTATTATAATTGAAGAGTAAAAGCCGCTTAAAAGTGCTTTGTGTAAATATTTCTTTGAATGGGTACACTTGCCATATTCTATATCAATTTAGATCCTTATCCTATCCTATGTTTTTTCCTGTAATAAAGTTTAGTGTACTAAGTCAACCTTCGCTTGCTGACAGCATACGCCGGCATATCTGCAATGAAAAACAAAATTTTAAAATATGCGCAAACAGTATTTATTTCATTTTTTATTATTATGACTCAAGACTAATTTACATCTATTAATATTTTTAACACGATTTATTGATTGCAATATGATTATAATTAGCGACTGTTTTTATGTGTTCCCTCAATTAATTTCGAGCCCAGGGTCTACTGTCACAGTCTTCTGTCACAGTTGATAAAAAAACGTATAAATAACTAAATGACTTTACATAAAAGAAAATGTTTTAGCTTACTATTCTATCGTCCGTGTGGTGACGGATTAAGAATACAGTGTCACTACCCCTATTCATCCAGTGGATGTCGCTCAATTAATTTCGAGCCCAGGGTCTACTGTCACAGTCTTCTGTCACAGTTGATAAAAAAACGTATAAATAACTAAATGACTTTACATAAAAGAAAATGTTTTAGCTTACTATTCTATCGTCCGTGTGGTGACGGATTAAGAATACAGTGTCACTACCCCTATTCATCCAGTGGATGTCGCCACCGGGATGAATAGGGGTAGTGACACTGTGTGTTCTTAATCCGTCACCACAAGATTCATCACCTATGTAGATATTATACTGCGATAGGCTGATGATGACTGTTTCAACTACTATACTATACTGCGAATGGTTTAATTCTGCGTGATAAATAAATTTACCACTAAATGCATTTATTGATTTATTTAAAAATGTTTTTAACCCTAGAATACTAATCTGAGTTATTTTGACTCGCACCGCCGATGTTCTTTAAAAATTACTTTATACCATCTAATAGAAACACAAACTCTAAATGTGTTGCCAAATGGTAAAGTAATGGTTTCTGGTACCTACTGGTTCAATTACAAGCCATAACCATGGCACGCGGTACTAGAATAGGCCATATTGGCCTGACATTCCAGTCCTACATATCATATACAAACCTCAGTCGTTTTCAAATGCACTATAATCAATAATTGTATATGGTTTTTTACAAAACAAAATATTTTTTTTTAATATATAATAATTCAAATACTATCTAGCCTCAAGTATACATACCCTTGGTCGACAGTACAATAGGTAGTGCTATAAACGTCGGTAGTGATGTGTCGTGCTGAATCACATCGCGTCAGATATACGCAAACACCAGCGCCTCCGTCTACGGCGCTCGGACACGCCGCATCACCGGTAGACTCCTTTGGAGCCTGCCAACAAATATGCTACGTTATAGATATTTGAGATTGAAAATCTGGTCCCGCAGTTTACCGCAGAGACACTCTAATTATGCAAAACGTACATTATTATATATCACTTACTTATTATTTACTTTTAACTTATTTTTAATTATGTCAAATTATGTAGTCATTATGTAGTCCGTGTGGTGACGGATTAAGAATACAGAGTGTCACCACCCCTATTCATCGCGTGGGTGTCGTAAGAGCCGACTAAGGGAGCAAACTACGCAGGACAACAGCACTGCAGAGAGAAGGAAAACTTGAAACAAACCCTATACCAACCCGTCTGGCCAGCCCGGTGTAGTAGGCCAAAACCTCCTTTCTAAGGAGAGGCCTATGTCCAGCAGTGGAGTTGAGTAAATCGTGAGTAGTTAATTAAGGAAGTATTAAACTAATGTTAAAAGGAACGAAATTAGACGACTGTTTTTAAATTACCCATGACACTGTTGGTTAATAGTGCAGTAGAGAAAAAAAAATACCGGTACGGGTACAATACTCCCAGGAGTGAGGTTTAATATTCAGTGTGGTCAGATATGGGAGGGGTAGCTGCAACCCAATCATCGTTACTAGCATCTGCGATTAATCTTATTTCTATTGCTGGTACTTACAGAAGAGTCCTTGGTAAGCTTCAAGCTAACAGTGGTGTCATTGGTTGGCAGCAAAAGCGTGCTGTTATCCGTGTCAATCAATGACTCTAACCAAGGGAAGTCTTGTAGGTGAAACTTTTCCAACACTGGAGTAGAGCTCGTAAATAACAGTGTGTGAGGTGTCGTAATGCTCAGGCTATCGGGACCTGTTAGTATTTTATAGAAATCACCAAATTGCAAGAAAGTTCTAAGGAACAAAAAAAAAACTAACTGACGAAAGAAGGTTCTTAAAACAGACAGTTTTTTTTTACTTTTCTATTATTTCAATTAGTTAATAAAGGAGACTCGTCACCAGAAATTTCGTCAACATCTTACTTACAGAAAGTGGTATCTGCTCTTATTTGGCTAAGTACTATTATAAAATTTCGCCTACAATAATTTACTCAGAGCCGCAATCGTATTCACGACGTTGTAATCAAGTATTTTATCGACTACTACGTCAATTAATAATGTGTGTATTTACATAACGAATTATTGGACAAATTGTCCTAACACACCAATACTTACGGTTAAAATCTTTCTTGATCGGTCTTTTTGCAAACAGTTGTCCACCGTTAGGTCTTGGTATTGAATGTCGTAATCCGCTGAAACCTACACATAATACTTACAAAATGTAGTTTTGAATATAATACAAAGAAAAATTTCATTGTTTTTAAATAAAAAATAGTATTGACGTGGTTAGTCCACGTTCTGTTTTATTGTGAGCATTCACGTGGATAGTGTAGGTAGATTGATAGGTACTAGATATGGTTCACCTGCACCACCACTGGATAGCAAGTCAGACCTATTTACCTTTACACTACCATCACTAAGTATTCATATATAGTTGAGTAATATTTAATGTATTTAAGTATGTTAATGTGTATACGGATATATTTTCCATTTTTATATTATACTGCAATTTGAAGAATGCTTTAATGTTTCAGACATGTAGGAATTATTTAAAACAGTTTGTATTTCTTAAAAAAAATGAATTAATTGATTTGAAAATGAAACCAGGGTTCATTATTAAATGAAAATTCTAAATTGCATAACAAATTAATAATAAGGTGTTAGTTTATATGGAAGATCAGTACCTAATGCATTGTCATTATTTTTTTAAACCCACGACAGTATGTAAGAATTTATGGACTTATACTTAATTTTTTTTTGTTTTAGAAGCACAAAACAATCAGCAATACGGCTTAGAACACACGACATGCATGCATCGTAGCATGCTGAGATACCAATAGAAATGCACGCATGCAACCTGAAGGCCGATTCTCGTAATAAAAGTTCGATCACAATTCAGTTCCGATTAACTCTCGATCTCGCAACTGTCACAAAAGTTATTTTCGTAGTGAAATAGAGAAGTATTATTAAGACTAGCAGATTACAGATTTAATTTTCGGTTAAAATACAATATATTCACATTACAGTCAACGTTGGATGTTTAATACTGCACTACGAAAATACCTGTTATGACAGTTGTAAGATCGAGAGCTGGTCGGAACTGAATTGTGCCGAATTTTTATTCTGAGAATTGGCCGGCTGATGTCTATATGCAGTCATCTATACTGATATTATAACAAAAGTGTGTCTGTCTGTCTGTTACCTCTTTACGCTTAAACCGATGAACCAATTTAGATGAAATTTATTATGGAGATAGTTTATCGGGCAAAAGCGACATTATCTATAGTGTGTTGATATTGTCTACCAAACGTGGATGCAGAAAAATAGTTGCACATTGTGACAGTAAGATTTGAGACGAATTGACGAAGCATGAATGAAGGGATGAGTGTAAAGGTGTCTTCCCTGTGTCACCAAACTCTTCTTTCAATAATTTATGTAAAAGGGCTTAGCTGCCGACGGCATAAATGAGTGGCTTTTTCATGTGAATTAAATAACTTCTGTATTTATGCGTAAATATAAGTAAATCATCTTAGGAGTAAATGTTAATAATTAAAAATAAGTTATAATTTAAAGAGTATATTATTAGGTGATAGTCAGGAAAAACCTCCTTTCTAAGGAGAGGCTTATGTCCAGCAGTGGTCTGTTAAAGGCTGTTGATGATGAGTCAGGAATACCAGTTTCATACCCTATATCAGCTTTTGGATTTTACCATAATTTGGAATTTAATATTTAAATACATATATTAAATTCCAAATTATGGTTCAACGTTTGTCTATTAATATATGTACCTATAGAAAACCAGTAAGTCATCTAAATCCACCAAATAAATTAATAGAAAGTTATTAACTAATAATAGATTAGTAGAATCTTGATTTATACAAAATATTATTTTAACACAAAGTTAAACCCAAATACAAAAGTCGAAATCTAAGGTGCAAGCTACAAAGCTAATAAGTAGTTATTACACAACGCTACCTTTAAACGCCGTCAAAACGGTGACAAATATATTACAAGTATTATCCTAAATGTAATAGGTACTTAGTCAAATGTCACACCAACCACTTACTACTTCACGCATTTATAAATCTGTAAGTAAAAACTCGACGAATTTCTTTCTACGGATCTAAACAGTATAAAGAATAAGAAGAAGAATTTACTCTACACAATGTTTTGAACCACTTTTCTAGTATCTTGAATAAAATAACCCTTCGGCCTTGTTTACAGAGACGCGGGGCGTCACGGGTCGCATGTGGCGTGGCGTTTCGAAGCGCGTTAGACTTTTTCACCGTCACAGTGCGGCGGCGCATGCAGCGGTCCTCGTCATCGCACGCGTAAACACAATCATATCCGCGTATCCGTAAATAAGGCCTTACGAGTATTATTATATTAAGATTTTTTACCTGCAGATCCATAGTCAGCTATATCCTCTTCCATTTCCAGGAATGAATCCAGTTGTGAACCTAATACGGTAAATGCATCATGATCATCATTAATAATTTTATGAAAGGAGGTTAAAGAGGTGGTGACTCAAAAGCATAGGTCCAGTCTGTAGTCAGTTATAATGAAAAGAGATAAAAAAGAACGAATGTAACGCACAAGGATTTTACATGGTAATGCAAATGAATTGATTAAGAGTAAATACATTTATTCCCAAAAGACATTCTGCTTCATGCAAAAGCATGAGAAAAATACATAATGTTAGATGTATACCATTTAAGATCTTGGAACCATGCACTTTCAATGCAATACATATTTAAAACACGATACTAAGGTAGTATTTGTTTTTTGAAAAAGGGAGCAAACGAGCAGACGTGTCACCTGATAGAAAGTGACTACCGTCGCCCATCAACCCCTGCAAGTCAGGAGTCACAAGCGCGTTGCTGGCCTTTGAGAAAGAAGTAGAGAAGGTTTGAAGGTCGCATCGGTCCAGAAATATGGCAGAGAATAACGTGTTCCACAGATTGGTTGTGGTTATGCAAATATGAATTATCCATGAAGCCTCATGTTGTTGATTCACACTTGTTCTTTTAAATATATAATGTTTCGAACACTTTCAATATATTAAATATTTACTAACCCAGTGTAGGGTACGAAGCAAAAGAGGCTGACCCCGGCATTGCTGCTGCTGGTACTGCGTAACCACCACCGGGACCTGATAGACCATATGCTGCAAAGGAAGGGCGATGGCTTGCCAATGATTGTGCGAACAAATTTGATGTCGACAGAGCTACAACAAGAATACTATTATTGACATCTCGTTCTAGTAAACGTACTTAATATGTCTGAAACTTGACATATTTTATCATTTTGTATCATATATTTTATAGTTTATTAAATGCAGAAATTGTTTGGACAGCGCTTGCAATACAATACTCAGATTTGTGACGATTTCGTTTAAGTTAAAATTCTATAAGAACAGCCACTAGCTAAATAATTAAAAGTAAATTGCAAAATTATTGACTGTTGAAAAGTACGTGGTTGGCTGTTTTTTTTTAAATATTATGAAATTACTGAAATCTAAAATAAATGCACGCTTAATCAATTTAAAGCTAGGGGAAACCCAAGAGATTATGATACGTTGAATACGTCCTTTATGTTGAGAGCTAGGGCCATTTTTTTTTTCAAAAGAAAACTTTAAAACAAATGTTGAACGAGATCTTAAGCTTGACATAAACGATCTGGTGTTTTACTAGACGTGTCAATAATAACACTTTTAGTGATGATGTTTGTCGATATGAATTTGTTCCGTTACTAGCCACATTTGGGATGCCACAAGGTACAAATTTTGGTTCGCTAATGTTTATACTATTTGTACGACTTGCTTTTTGTAATTTGATTTGAAACGTATACATTTAAAATAACTACTTACGTCCACCGCCATAACCGGAGGAAACTGGAAACAAAATAAATATTTATTAATAAAGAAAGTTTATTGCTTCATCGTCTTTGAAGAACCTAATTAGAGCTGGTTGAGAAGTTTATATAACAACAATATTACACACGAGACAATTTTTTTTTGGTTGGGTATAAAGGAATGCAAATCTCTTATCTTGAAGTATGAAAACACAAATTTCAATAGAATTAACAAATAAGTAGATACCTGCTTTGTCAACAGACTCTGCGTCTACTGCATTCGTAGCGTTGGGCTTTACTACCACCAGTGAAGTGAGCGGGGTTACGAAGGAATACTGAAAAATAAATATTTTATTACGATACTAAATAATATTCGAAATATTTTGTGGATTTGGCAGTTATTCGATTTTATTCATCTTGTATTTGAAAAATTGATTTAAAAAACTCTTTTTATTAAGATTTACAATTATATAAATGATATTTATTTCTACAAGTAAATCTTATCAGATATTTTTACAAGGCGCACTTTACAGCTAGCAGGCGCCGGCAATTCGTAAGACTCACTCTGGGAAGAACCGCAGAAACAAACCACGGAGGTGTCTTTATTTTAAGCCCGTGTACAATGTTAAAGAGAGATATGTGAGTGCAATATAGGGTCTGGGTTGGCCTTTTAAAGAAAGGACTATAGTTTATACAATAGTTAAGTAAATAAATTATGCGTAAGAAACAAACGCATGTCAGTGTTTTCAAGGTTGTTCTAACTTAATACGGCTTCCTGTCTTGGCATTAATCAAAATACACTATAACATAATATTTAATATTACCTTTTCTTGTAATAATCGTTAGGTTTATAGAGATTGGTTAGGCTTATATTGTACATGTATTGTAGATACCAAAAGTAATAATTAACACAACAAAATACAATCAATGTGTACTAACAACTAACTTAAAAATAATACTTTAAAAATAAAAATCATTTTTTTTTTCTTTAATCCTGGAGGGTCAGGTCAAGGCTATCATGCCATTTTAATGTAATTGAAGTCACAATCTACTAAATTGCTTATTAGAAGGATTAGAAGATAATTGGTGATTAAATAATAGTCTTAATAAATTTGGTCGACTGTCGGCTCTCAATTTATTATATTTTTGAACATAGTAGATGTTACATTACACGGACACAATATAAGGCAATGATGTAACTCAAGGAAAAGGAACTGTCTCACTTTAGAAATAAGTAGAAAAATGCTGTAAGTAGAAAAAATGCTGATCAACACGCTTTAATAAGTAGCTGTTTAATACAAAACAGAACTAAAACTTGTTAATGCTGCGATTTTTAAAGTGGTGGATAGTCTGTTTTTAAAGTGGTGGATTTTAAGAATTTGTCTATGTTATCTAACACCTAAATTATGACGTACCTTCAATGCAAGTTCGAGCGCTTTCTTTTCAGGAGTGTTTTTATCATCAGAAGCAGGGGAGTCTTCTTCCGCGTCTTTTTTGTCTAGCAGTTGTTTGATCGTGAGATACGACCATAGACGCTCAAGGGGCAGATATTCGGTTCTCTTTTTCTCCACGGGAACTTTAGGCAGTAACTCGTACCGTTTCTGATTGATACAACAACAAATTTGATTACGTGTAATTTTAGTCAAGTTCTGGTAAAGGTTTTTTGTGTACAGAGGGCGGACAACTTGATTTATTATCAGGCTCGACATACTTTGTAATATCATTCCCAAATGAAGATTGTCCCAATGTTGTATACAGGTTTTTATTTCTTACCAAAGAAGAAACGTTTTGGGAATGTTACTGTCCAACACTGATATTGATACTAACACACCCCGTAATACAGCGTGTTAGGGTTTGTAATCTTATGTTAAATTACGTCATCAGAAAAAAACTTAGAAAGGAGGTTGTCGCCTACAATACCACATTAGTCAGACGGATTAGTATAGGGTTTGTGTCAAGTTTTCCTTCTCTTGTTATGTTAGGTAATTATCAGATTTGAAGATTAAACAATCGATTATTTATTGCTACTAAATATATGGATATTTGGGTTATTGTTGTAGTATTACAGACTGTATATTTATTGTAGTACAGACGGCGAATGAGCAGACGGTCACTATTTGTTAATTGATTACCGTCGCCCATGAACACCTGAAACTCAAAACTAACAAGTGCGTTGCCGGCCTTTGAGTAAAAGAGTTAGGGAGGGGATTTAGCTCTTCGGTAGCCTCACTCACCCAGGGAAAAGCTACAAAATAATTGCTTAAACAGTTACCGGTTTTTACTGAGGTCGAGGCATGGCTCTCCCACGATTGTATCCGATAAATATGAAAAGAATATCCAAACAATACACGTATATAGACCGCATACCCAACACACAAATTTTAAATGCAGCTTAGCCCGTACAAGACTTAACAATCTTCGAGAATATTATGAAAATCTATAAGGTTTTATGATGATGTTTTTACCCCGTACAAGCAAGTGGTTATGCCACATGGCTCGGCTTTGCAATTTACCAGCTAAAAAGAGAAATACTAAATTAGTAGCTAAGGAAGATATCGGTTTTGTATTATACGTACCCTGCCATAACCGTCGTCGACACCACAGAAGGCCACGACTTGCGGCGTGATCTCTACGGCAGAGTCATCAATGCGCCCTGCCACTACCACCTCTGAACCACCGTAGAATGAGCGGAAGTCGTGTTTCGTCAACGAATCAGATTTGACCTGAAATTAAGTAGCAATGACGAAGATGAGATTAGATAAAGAAATTGTATCTACATAAGTAGGTGTGTACGTATTCCAGTAGGTGCTTCTCCTAAATGACAATGGAAAGTAATGATAGTAATAATAATGAAAAGTAGTTGTTTTGATTTAAAATCTGGTTATACTGAACTTGTCAACTAAATCCATACAACCCCCAGCCTCTCAGACAACGCGCAATGTAGGGTTCTGTAGGTTATTACTACACTAGTATGAGGAAAGTACATTTTATAACTTGGGCGACTCTTCCTCTAGAACTTACAGACTAAGCCTAACCAAGATACTTTTTATTTTATTTCCTTTCTTACTTTAGGACAGACAGTTGAAAATGACGCTACTATAGGGTTCCTTGTTAAGATTACGGAAACCGTAAAATGTATTTAAATCGTTGATTAGATAGTTTCCATGTAAGTTTTTACAGTTATATGCGGGTTATATAGTTTTATTATTTTATAGAGCGTTTAATATTACTTAAAGGTGTTTTTACCGGTATCCTAATTTTGACTTAATTTATTTCGTTCCTGTTGACCAACATTCTTGTAATACAATAGTACCTGTCCAGCTGGATATGTGAACTTGAGATGTGCAAGCAGTGGTGAGGATATCTGACGGTAGAAGTCCCTCAACTGCAAAGCAGCGTCGGCCGCTTCATAAATATGTCTCATGAACCCGCCGTTACGGAGCGAGACCTTGCGAAGGAACTTGCGGTCAGCGTCCTCACCTGGGCAAATCACCATGTCGTTGTTTCAATAACGGTTTGACAACCGCAAAAGTTCTAAGATATATTAAGAGTTTTAAGTTAAGTCCTATTTTATATTAAGGCTTTAATTGAATTATTTTATATGATATTTTTAAATGCTCATCAAAGCACTTTCATTATCACCCATCAATTTACGTGTACCTATTGTAAACGTAAAATAAACCGATGCGGTACGTGTTAATTTGTAATGATAATGTTGAAATTGATCGAGTTCACAGGGACTCGTAAAACGTAATAATTGTATTTATTATATTAGTATTTTTGATTAGGATTGAGATTTTTTTACATAAGAAGGAAGATTTTTTGATTTGCAGTTAAAACTACCCATATAATATCAATAACTTTGAATTCGTTAGATGTTCGCACACATTTACCATGAGTTGTGGAAGTAGTGTTTTTTTGCAAAATATGTATGTAATAGTAAAGACGCTACTTATTTATTAAGTGCGATGTGGATACTTGTGTAGCTAGATATTCGAATACATTTATTAGATACTCATAATTAGTAAAGTTATTAAAGTACTTCTGTCAAGGTGGTATCGGAAATAATAGTATTAAAGGGTATACTTATGCATAATTTGACTATAGATATTTTACACTTTCACTTTTCTTTTACACTTGGTTTAAATAATTTTCGATACAAAGCCCTCTTGTAGAGGAGAGAAATCCGCTCTTATGGAGTACAAAAGAGCACATCAAAAGCTTTGTATATCAGGTAAAATTTTGTATATGAGCCACTGCACTCTTGAAAACACTTTTGAATATGTGTGATCAGTAATATCCGAGAATGGCTAGATCTCAATGAGCGCACGTGCCCGTGTTTAGGTACCTACTCACCGAAAGCGAGAGAGAAGATCGTAGCCTTGTTTTCTCCGGAATTTTTCTCTTGCACTTGTGTGATGATACGCTTAGGGTCTGTTTGACCAACAGTTGGATCGCCATCGGTTAGGAAAATGATGATTGGCTCCAGGTTTTTGGAGGCTGAAGTAAAAAGCACGACAAATAAACTTTTAGTTCGATATTTGCAGATTTAGTGTAAAACTTTATTAACTGCCTCTTATATCTAATTAATTTAACTATTCTTATTAACTGCCTCTTATATCTAATTAATAATATATAAATAATTAGTAATTTGTGTCATAAAATAAAAAATGCTCTATACCTATTAATAGAACCTGTTTTACTATCGGCGTAGTAGAAAATTATGCCTGCACTACGTCGGTAATAAAATACAATCTCTTTTAGGATAATGAGCCATGATTGGCTAACTTATGACTTCAAAGTTGTATAGATTAGAGGAATAAAATAACTTACACTTTTTTTCTCCTACAGCTTTTTCACTACTGACTTCAGTAGCAGCAGTACTGGGGGCAGTACTGCTAGCACTATCAGCGGAACTGGTAGAGCTTCCTTCAAGAGCGTTGGGCTTCGAGATAGTGGTTGGAGTCCAGTCCACACCCTTGTTGATAAGCTCTACGGCGACGTCTAACGCTCGCCCAATATTCGTACCTGTGAAAACCATAACATGTCTTTAAAAAAAATTCGGGTTGTCTTTTATGTTCTTTCGGAAATACTGTAGACTGCAACAGTCTACAACTTCTGAATCTATATAGGCCTGCAGTAAAATCAGATCTACTTTAACACATTACTAAGGATTAGCAATACATAGTACAGTTTTTTGAAACATTTTGCACATACATATGTAATATTTATAATATAATTGTGTAGGTGGTTTGGATGAGTAAAGAAAGAATTGGGTGTAATGTAACACTACATGTTTTTAACAAATGCAAGTGTTTCTTTATATAAAAATATCATTGGTGACTAACCTCCAGAGGCCTGCAGCCAGCTAACTATGAGTTTAGCCTTGGCGATGTTTTCAGGAGTGGCTTGTGATGGAGGCACTAGCGTGGTCTGATCGGAGTAATCATAGAAAGAGTAGATGCGCTTTGGTGGCTCCCCATCTGCTTCTTTTAGATCATGTACCTGAATTGCAGCAAATGCGTCGTTATACTTTGCAAGGACATTTTAGAGAAAGCGCTCTATTTTGCTATAACATTCATTTGCCTGTAGTCCTACAGCTTACGAGTATTTCATATTATAAATATCATTTTCAAAACAGATGCGGAAAATTCTTTAAAACAATATTTGAAGCGGGTTATATATCGTGTCAAAATTTGAGTTAATTAGTACTTTTTGATTTTCTTACCAACTAACTTAATATTTTTGTATATATGTATGGTAACGCTTAAGAAAGGCCACATTATTTGATTCGACCATAATGCAATTTTCGCATGACAACATTAGTTTTTACACAGCATAATTGTTATTTATGTTTACAATTTTAGGTATTAATTTTAGAAAAAGAAACTGGAAGACTTCCGTACGAAATGTGACAGCCTCATTACAACTAATTAAAATATTGAATTATTACATACGGAAACAGATGACGAAAATTCTACAATACTGAAGTAGTCTCCAACGTTGAGCTCGCTGAGGATAGTTTGCATGGCTTCACGAAGTTGTACAATCTTACGGTCCATCATAGAACCTGAAGTATCCAGCACGAATACAACATGCTTGTTCAGAGGCTGGAGGTCTGATTGTGTGGGTGCGAAGAAATGCACGAAGTAGCCATCGTTAACCTGCAAATGTATTATATGTAAAGAGGATTTAAACAATAAAAAATATTAAACTATTTTCTAAATCACAGAATAAATTAATATTACTTTGTAAAAGAGGTAGGTCATCTCTTTAAAGGGGTGCGTATGACCAATAACAATTCTTTACTTAACAATTTACATGTGGCTCAAAAATAATTATACTAATGCTAATTAGTTTAGGTACACATTAAACTGCCGATTTGAAAATTTGGTAATAATTATTTCGTAGGGGATATTGTACTTCTAATTAATTATTCTATGTTACGTGTATATCAAACATAATAATAATAATTTTAAGTACTTTAGCAAAAACCTCACCAGTACTTCACCATCCTTAGGTCTGGCCACGTCGTATTGGACCACAAATTGTCCAAGTATACCCTCAGGAGAGTTGTCTTTAGAATTTGTATCATCGTAGGAGAAAGATGAGTACGAATGAGAAGCGGCTGCTGAGTCTTTCGATTTTTGTGTGTATATCTGAATTAATCTCTCCTGTTCTTGTAAATCTGGTGTAAATGTAATTGTAGCTTCCCGATCGTCGTGGCCTTTGACGATAGTTGCTCTTGCGTTCTCTAAAATATTGTATGAGACTTATTATAGAAAAATATCAGATAAACTTTTAAGGCATAATGTTTAAATTTTTATTTTATATTAAGTTTCTCTTTGGCACAATGTAGTTACTGTATTAAATAAGTAATTACGACTCGTTATTTCTTTTATATGTATAAAGTAGACTAGGAATGGTATTAAATACTTTCTTACAAAAAAAAAAACAGTGTAAAGTAACGATCGGTAAAATTATTGAACTCACGTGCGTCATCTTTCGTAGCGTCAATTTCATTTCCAGTTCTGATCTCTGGTACCCTGAGCTCCACAATCTTCTCAGCCTCCTTGATGTGCACGGTGACAGTGAGCTTGGGTACTAACGCTCCAGGATGCAGATTGATAGCGTGGTTATACACTCCATTGCGGCGGACCAATAATTCCTCATACGTCAGGTTGAAGACTGCGTTTGAAGAAGGTTCCACATTCACTGATACAGTGAAATGGTTTGAATCACGCGCCCTGTAAAGATGGAAAGTATTGACGCGTCATTATTAAACAATAGTTACGATTATACGCTTTCATACAAGGACCTAATGGCTACGTTCACCATTTACATAAAATAGACAGTGTAAAAACTTACGATTGACTGAACTGAGGTTCCATTTTGGTTTTATGCTGTGTGTATATTTCAGTTAATATCTCAAAACGGCCTTGTACACTTGAAAGTTAAACTAACAGCAATCGCGACTTTGTTCGCAGTGTAAATTATTTTATTAAAAACGACAAGAGTCTAAGTGAAGGTGAAATATTTATTAAAATTTGCTCAGTAGTTGGTACATACTTATACCTACTTTTCCGAAGAAACTGTGTATCCGTATCTACGTAATGATTTTTTATCACCTTCAAAAAAGATTTTCAATTCGTTATGGTTCTGTTTTATGTATGTTACCCGATTATTTGAAGATGGCTGGCCCGAAAATTAATATTATTGTTTAAAATTATATGCTGATCGTAATGTCTACACGTTAGAATCTCTTGATGAGATCCTAGAGCAATTTACTGTACTGTTCATTTGTAATACTAGTATTTTTAAAGTAAATTGAATATTTGCTGTCGAAAATACTATTTAGTAAAGTAGAACTTACGAGTGGTGAAGAACACAGTTACTTAACAATAAGTATCGAGTTGCGATTTGGCAACTTTAATATTCTGTCAAGCAATTTATCTTTATCGCAATGCGTATGGTTAAGTATCGGCAGAACTCGTCAACAAATAACGTCCAAAAAGGTCGAAATAGCAATAACTATTATAGTTTGTAAAGGACGATGTGAAGGGGCGATTAGATGCATTATCCCACTAGATGAATAAAAAAACTTTAGATAGCTCTATCTGATTTAGGACCATCGTGGGGTTTACTTAACAGTTACCCCACGATGAACAAGCATTAGTAAAAATTCACCGATTGAGAAATCTCATTTCTGACGAAAGGTAGACACAGGAAAGAACCTGCTCCTTTTTTGAAGTAGTTAAAAAAAATAGTTTTTTTAAATTTTTAATGAAAATTAGATGTTGTTTGTTTAAATATAATATGGGAATGTAAACAAAACGCACTGCTCCAATGAGACAGAGGTTTCGCAGTAAATGAAAATATCTTCGAGGTATACAATTTTTAGATATTTGTTGATTTTTCGAAAATTTGTCGACCGATTTCGATAAAATTTAAATAGGACCTTGGACCTTGGAAAATAAAAAAGAACTTGCCAAATCGGTACATTCGTCTTCGAGTAATCGGTGAACATACATAGAAAGAAAGATTTAGAAGAGAATTAAGAGATGAATGATTATAACTTATCGATAACACAGGCTAACAACATTTTTACTAAGAAAACAGAGTATATGTTATGCAATACTTAATATAGCTTTTATTCTAGAACATCTTTTCCCAAACCCAATGAAAAGGAACTGAAATTTTTGTCCTTAGAAATCTATTTAATTTGACGGTCGCTGAAGAAGTCATTTCTTATTTAGGCGTCGCGTCAACTAGACGACAAGACGATGGAATTTACTTCACAGTTATTTAATATATTAAAAAAATATATATATATTTATATTTATAAAATTTTAAATTTAATTTAATTTATTTTATTTTTGGTGGAGTTTTTTTGAGAATTCGTACATCAACAACAACATCAATAATCATCACGGGTTCTAAGTTCAATCATAGCACTGACGCAAAAACGATAGTCTTAGTTATAGGACCACAGTTTAGGAGTTATTTTTTTTTATCTTTGATGGTTTGTGGTCTGTTATTCAGTAAATATCTTTATAAATTATTTACTAAATGTCTGTAGTCACAATACCTTAATTTTTCGGATATTTGTCGAGATCTGGATGATGATCTGTGAGAACTGAGGGGCCGCACTTTAAGAGCTGTAGTTTTTTAAATATTTTTTTACAAATTCCCAGATTTGTTCTACAATTTTTTCAACTCTATTACTAAATCATATGACTTTTATTTTAAGAAATACCAGTATGGTCCCTCATTTCTCACACACGTGATAAACTAAACACAGATTACCACACGCATAACAAAACAGATAAGTTAGAACATGTTAATCACTAAGTATTATGAACTTTTACCCATATATATGATAAATTCTAGCAAGGTACCCGTTCTTATCTTTCTTACGCTTCTACGCCAAAACTATTAAAACCGATTTCAAAAATTATTTTATGAGTGGAAAGCTGTATTATCAGCGAGTAGCATGGGCTACTTTTTTCGCGGTAACCAACAAACAACAAAGCCAGTATAAAATAAATATTATACTTTGTTAAGGTTCAAAGACACCAATAGGTACTATTAAAATGCATTAAGATGCTCGAGGTTTTGTTTTAACATTACTTTACCGTAAAGTACCTAGTAATGTGCTCCCAATTGTTGCACGTTTAATTCAACTACGTTTATCCCCTATTGCGAAATTATGTGAGTGTATAATACGGCTCTGCCTACCCCGTCGGGGATACAGGTGTGAGTATATGTAATAAAGCGTGAATGTGTGTATTTGAAAAGTGTAAAGTAATTGCATTATACCCTGTAAGAGTACGTCATTGTGTCGTCTCTACTAGGTTAAATACTGTATTACATAACAAAAGCCATGGTGCGTATTTTACTACTACTTTCGTTATTTTATTCTTTCAATATTACTATGATATATTAACACTCTTGGCACCCCCGGCAGCAGGATCCTAATAATAGCAGCCCCTCTCTCCAGCGTTTAAGGTAAAAAAAAAAATTAAAAACTCACAAATATATAATAATGGTTGGGATTTTTCGTGATTGAGAGGTAACAATATATTGCTTTTTTATTTTAAACCGTATTATGTTATGATTTTGGCGCCCCCTAAAACTTCCGCCCGGGGCCGGTGCCTCGGTTTGTCTTGGTAGACAAATAAGCTACCCGCAATAAGAGCTTTGCACAATCTTCAAGAATGAAATCATCATCAATCGACAGACTCTAACAGTATACTGCTGGACATAGACCTCTCCTTAGAAAGGAGGTTTTGGCCTACTATATCACGCTGGCCAGACACTAACCCTATACCAACACGTGGTATAGGGTTAGTGTCAAGTTTTCCTTCTCTTTGTAGTTTTGTTGACCTGTATAGTTTGCTCTCTTAGTCGGCTCTTACGACACCCAAGGGATGAATGCGAGTGGTGACAATCCGTATTGTTAATCCGTCACCACACGGACAAGAATGAAAGACTAACAATAATTATTATTTTAAAAATCTTAGCTATTAATAGTTTATCGTGACACCTTGAGGTTTTGCGATTATTATTTATTATGTATTCAGTTACTTTTATTTATAATTTACTTACTTTGCAGAAACATGAGCTGCAGCGATACCATGAGACACCGCATCTGTATAGATTTTCTTAGCTTCTTCTTTTTCTTTTACGTATGCCTTGTAAGATTTTCCATCAAGTGTCCTGAAATAAAATCAACATGTTCATGACACACGGTATTTTAACGCTGCAACTGTCGCATTATTCAATTATATGCAGTTTGGTAGAATTATTTAACTTTCAAGATATTATAAAGAACTCTGAGATATAAATACACTTAACGTTCATAATAGATTACCTCACGACACATTCTTTTACTATTACAGAAAGTGAACAAAAATTTCTAGACACCAAATATTCATATGCATGTACATAATAATGTCCTTACATAACGAATCCACTAATGAAGGCGGTCTCAGGCAGAAGAACTCTGAAGTGTGCCTCCTGTGCGCGTTTAGCTGGATTACGAACTTGGGCGACCACTGTCGTGTGCGCATATCGTAGCGATACTTCCGATGTCACTTCCATTTCGGTCATTTTGATCGGCGGACTGGACTCCTCGGTTGTGATATCCGCTACCGAGGCCGGTGTCGTAGCGATCTAAACATTAATAGAATGTATCATGTGGCTCTACTTCACCAATTTCTACTCCCGACAGTTAAAAATGCATATAACTAATCGCGTTATTTTAAGAATGTAATTTTTATTTATGCATAAACACAATATGGATAACCAAACCCAAAAATTCTCGGCCTTAAACAACGAGGTTTTGCGATTATGTCTGTCCGTATAGTGACGGATTAAGAATACGGAATGTCACTACCCCAATTCATCCCGTGGGTGTCGTAAGAGCCGATTAAGGGCGCAAAACAACGCAGGACACTTCAGAAAGAAGAAAAACTTGATACAAACCCTATATCAACCCGTCTGGCCAGCGTGGTATAGTAGGCCAAAACCTCCTTTCTAAGGAGCGGCTTATGTCCAGCAGTTAACTATTAAAGGCTGTTGATGATGATGATGATGATGAAACAACGAGATTGTATGTAAGCCTAAGCTTTGTTATGATGTAATCATTTTTTTATGACAAATAAAAAAATGACAAAGTTCGATAACAATATTCGTACCTGGTTGCCATTGTCCAGAGTTTTGCTGGCGTTACTCTTATTTTACTACGTTATGAGTATTTTTTTGTGTGTTTCTACAATGTATATTTTTACTTATAATATTCAGGTACCCATTCGAATTTACTACAAGAAACTTTAATTAAGTACTTAAGGCGGGAAAACGGCAGACTTAATTTCACATTTATATTACTGATCAGTAGGTATTTAAGTATATTTACATACTTATGTATATGTCTAATCAAAACAACTCATATTTATGTTTTCTTACTTACCAATGTTACTGTAATAAAAAATAACAGAGATCAAATATTTTTAAAGACAAAGATTTACACAAACATTGAGGGTTGGTTACAATCCTTCATCTAAATCCAAATTGACATATCATATAAGGAATACGTACCGTGTCATCGGACCTGGCAACCACCATGGTGTCTTGTGTAGGTACTGCAGCTGAGTGGACCAATGCCATCAGGCATAGCCCTCCAAACGCCGCCAAAAAGCGGACCATGACGACTCCCTATTAACAAACAAGATAATTGTCTCATCACTTTAGTCTGTTTACTTTGAAAACTTCACGACTCCGAACAAAGATTACTATTTAGGATGTCCTTAACTAAAATAAAAACAACTTACGATAGTTTCTTTCCTAAATTACTAACTAATCGAAACACAGGTCAACCTTTAAAATATGGTTCCAAAACTCCGTTTTATAATCTTATCGGTTATATTAATGTTAAACGGTGTACGCGGGGCAAAAGTCGTACAGATAACTTTATTGTAACAGGAATGACGTAACCAGCAGCGGGTACACTCATGCAGCGATCTTCCTATTGATAAACACCAGCAGTCAGCGAAGGTCAAGTGTCTACTAAGAACTTGCGCTTGAAACGACGATAAACAATTTATTATACATAAACAGCTGGTTTCGAGAAAAAGATTTTGTAAGTATTTGTTTTGCATGTTTCGGTTTTTCCGTAACTTTAATATCTTTGGAAACATTAATTCAACGTTTTTATTTATTTAATAACATAAATATTGTTTAGATATCTCTTAATCGATTCTGTGAAACGCGGTAAATAAAATATAATGGAGGTCGTGGGTTCGATTCCCACCTAGGACAAATATTGTGTGATGAGCACGGTCATTTGTTCTGTGTCTGTTTGTAATTTATGTAAAATATGTATGCATTAAAAAATATATAAGTATGTTTATAAGCAATCTGGTTACCAAAGCACAGGCTCTGTCTAGTTTGGGATCAGACACCCGTGTGTGAGATGTATGAGGTATATGTATCATTATAATTTTGACGTATACAATGTGTTTTTTTTACGCCGTAGGTACCAAACCCAAAAAAAAATATTACATTACATTTCCTTATCCTATACATCTCATGTTATTGTGAATAGTTACCATGTTCACGGTTAGTTAGGTTTATACCTATGATGCAATGTTACCTTTAAATAAATATTGAAAAACATAGGTATTAGAAAGGTGGTTCTAAATGTCATTTTCAATGAGTACTTACTACTACAACTACCTACGCGGCTTCACTCCCGTGATTACTTCTTATTTAGGGTTTCTAACTTGCAAAGGCAAACTTCCATACAAACGTTCATCTCTTATTTACTAAAACATTCCTTCTTAGCGGGTGCTTACAACATAAAAAAATCAAATTTTATATGATATATAAACCGATAACATAACCAGGTAATAGGACTAAATCGAAGGTTAATTAATCAATGTTTATAGAATAATTAATGATATTTTAGTTTATCGCCAATCTCCCTATAAGTCCCTATATTTTTAGACAGCGCCCATAGTAATAACGGTTTTAAAATAAAAATATTATGAGAATATTTAGATGTTTTGAATCAATTCTCGTTTTAATGGCGATGGAACTAGTTTTATATTATTCTACAATACGGACAATTAAGGAAAAATCAAAGTTGAATTGTTCATAGCCATTTACATGTTTTGAGATGTGATATGTGGTTTAAAAGTAATTACAGTCAGTGTGTGAAATAAAAACGCCTAAAAATCGTGATTGACTTTTGAAAGTAAATGGGATTTAACACGTTTTTAGAACATATCGATGATCTCATCAGAACTATTATTAAAGACGGTATCAGGAAAATCACAGGCATCAGTTTAAAGCAACATTGTTGTAATCCTGAAGTTTTAATGATAATTTTGTATTTTCTTTTCTCTTTTTAAAGATAACATAGACAAATTAAACAATAAAAAACGTGATATTGTTTTTCTTAATTTAAGTAGGTAACGATGATAACCATTATTATTTGTGTACACCATATTGATAACACTGCGACCGTAATACACTACGATTGACAACTATAAAAATCTGTGTTACATTAAGCGAAGACGAAACTAAGGCGGATACCGGTCATAATTAAAAAAATATCAGTGTCATTGTAATTGGTGCTGTAAATCTGTATTATGTAAAAGATACCTACTATAATACCTACTTTTTTGTTTTTCTATCTTCATTATTACAATAATTGAATTCTTATTTTAGAATTGACCTCCTGTTTCAATAACATTTTCTAAAAACCAGTTTTTAGAATTTAAAATAGAAGTCTTTACTGAATTTAAATTTGATGAGTTTGTATACATTTAATGCATGAACTGCTATATTGTAAAAAATAAAGGTTACATAAATGGTGTTGTTAGAATTTAGAACATATGAAACCGATATCGGGCGGCGCGTGAAGTCGGTTTTAGACTTACATTTGCAAAATGAATGTAAAAATTGACTGGATACCTCAATCAATTTGAGACTAAGTAGTGTTTTCACAAAAAAAATAGACTGTTTACATCCTGTACCGTTTTAGGAATAAAGACGTGTGTGTAGGTAGGTAGAATCATAATTATGGAAAGTAATAGGTACTCAGGTATTTACTGAGTTGACTTGACATAGAGTCTGATTTCTAATTTAAGTAGTGTTAATTTTTTGAAGAAAGACGCTTTCTTGCATCTTTTAATGTAATAATAATAAAAATTAAATAGGTAAGATACAGAGTAGTTATCAAAACCATAGCAATAATGACTGTCCGTATCAGACCAGTAAAGTTTACTTTTAGCCAAATTATATTTAACTTTATACTTCATGTTATTAGTATAAAAACGAGAAATAAAAACGATAGAAAAAACTTTACAAAAAACGTAAAGCTCCCAGATGTAAAGATTGGAAGTAAAGCTTAGCTAGCTTTATAAAAAGTTGAATGAACTGGACGCAGAACAGGTAAATCTTGATTGAGGAAAAATATAAATAAAAGTAACCATAGATATCTATATATTCGTTTAGCGAGAAGAGCGTCAATTGTGTTTTATTAAGACTGTTTTTTTCTGTTAAGTCAGACACAAAATGTTGTTATTTCCTGTAACAGTCTGTGGTTCTAAGATTTATATCTAAACATCTACAATAATACTTCGACGTGATGGATTAATTTGATACGGGGTGTAGACATAGGGTGCGATGGAAAGTCTCACTTTGAAAATTTTATTAAGTGTGCTACTAATTTCGATAGATATTCTGATACCTTTAGGTAATTTTTTTCTCTGCGAGTCATGAAATAGATACAATCCAATGATTGGGTAAAAGAAAAATACGTCCAAAAACGCAATTCATCTGGGTTTAATTCATTTAGTCATTCATTTGATAGTTAAAATCTACTCTGATCTTCTTTCTATTGACAGATTGTGTTAAGTTACTACTGTTACTTATATTATAATATTATATATACTACTACTATTACTACTTAGTCATAGGATAATTTACATTCTGAAAGAATAAGACGTTATATCATTCCCAAATTAACATACTTAACATCATTATTATTTCTGCCCACTAAACAATAATAATACCAAAGCAAAAGTAAGACTTCTCTGTGTAATCTTATATTAAGTCAACCTAATTCGACAGTGGATCATGCGATCACGTCACCTGTCCACACACATGATACGATTTGCACGAATAAGACTTCAGAACAAACAAACTGTTAAAACTTTCAAGACTTGTTATTTTAAAACTGCTATTACATAGTTATCGTAGCAGTATCAAGTTCTTGATTTTGCTGTACTTATTATTATCGAGGCGCACTATCTTAGAGAAAACAAAAATTACTTAGTATGAAATATTTAAAAAGTATGTGTTTAGTAATCACTGAGAGAAGATTTATTCGTTGTGCCTTGGTTAGCCTAGGATTTATATTAACTATAACTCTATACTATATTTTTACCATATTTTTTATCAATGTTTGCATCAAAAGCTTACGTATTATTAACCCACATAAATCAAACAAGTATAAATCAACATGATGAAGTAACACAACACAATCAGACCGGTAGTTACAATATTGATGTTATTTCAATAGGTAATTCTTTGCAATAGATTCAGTGCAAACAATACACACACGGCGGTTACCTACACATACAAAACAGTTATAAAACTGTAGTTTGCCGAATCAATCGTTTACTTATAGACAAACAACGTCAAAACAATGATAATTTAAACACCGGTTAGCAGTCAACCGATACGTTGTTACATAAAGCCAGGCGATACTTACTCGTTTGTTTACGCTCAACGAGATGATTGCACCAATTGTCCCTCAAGCTCTGGCACGTTCCACGTTCACCCTCGTACAGTATATGCTAAGGAGACGTGTGTGCTCGTCGTCGGTCGGCACCAAACTCGTTAGGACGCGGCTCGCGAACGGCTTATGTAGATTGTGTACGTACATAGGTGTATCGTCCACTCGTAGCGACTTATGGACTTCACAGTGTTGCTCATCGGCCCGGTCCGAGAACCGTTATCGTTTTTAAGCTGTTTATTCCACATTAACTCGTATGTTCTGTTTTCATTTATATTTCACATGAAAATTAAATGTTGTTGGCAAACAAACAATACACTAACATGAGAAATACCAAGTCCTTTATCTAAATAGGAAAAAAATCTCTATTGAGGATGCAACAATCTACTAATATTGTCTAAGATATACTTAACTTTTTTGTTTTAAATTGTGTAAAAAGTTTTGATATCCTAGCCTGCCTAATGCCCAGCCTAATCTCATGTGCTTGTGACAATGACCGTATCATGGAAAACATTCTTAAATTTTAAAACGATATTGTACTTCTGTGTGGAATTCGAAGGGAACTTTCCAGAGAATCTTGATCGATTTAAATATCTTTCTATTCAATTCAATTCAATTCTTTATTAATAAAATATAAGCATCACAGTGTACACCAAATCGCTTATATCTAATTTTAATTTAATAAATAATAATTAAATAATTATAATATAAGCTAATTTTAACAAAAATAAATTACATACTATTACAATTGTAAAACTCAGACCATCAAAAAGATACAACATAAAATTTGTAAACAAAAACAACCTTACATCAACTTAGGAACTTTAAAATTACTCTTTAAAATTTAGATATGTATAAATATGTTTTAAAATTATGCTTTGGGAGTCGAAAAATATATCTGCATCTGGACTATACTGAAGAAACTCATTGATAAGCCTAATTGCTATAGCAGTGGGGCTATGGTCAGCCTGGGGAGAGCGCCACGTAGACGGACAGCACATTGTATCCACCATCTTAAGATACGATCTTAATTAAGGGTCAGTAAAGAAAATGTATATTACGCAGAACAACGACACTGCAAAGAGAAGGAAAACTCAAAACAAACCCTATACCAACCAGTCTGGCCGCGTGGTATAGTAGGCCAAAACCTACTTTCAGATAAGAGGTCTATGTCCAGCAGAGGACTAGTAAATGCTGTTGATGATGATGATGATGAAAGAAAATGTGTTAAGTATAATTCACTTTTGTGTCAGGTATCCTAAGAATATATATATACCTGGTTCCCCGGCATTAGTACCCGAGACGGCGTGCGGTTTTAGTCGGTTCGAGTCCGACATGCCACCGATACCGGTGGTATCCGAGGTGATTCCCGCACGGAAAAAAAAAAAAAGGTCGGTTTGCCTTGTTTATCTGTGGAAACCAACTCTAAGCCGCAATGAAAAAGTTATTAAGTTTTTTCAATAATTAATAATGGATAAGCAGTATGAACAATTTAAGGCTATAGATTGGTTATTAATTCTATGAATTGAGACGAAGAGGAAAATCTTTTAGGTATAGTACAATATCTAATTTGACATCATCACTAAAAATAATGATGTAGGAAAACAGTACATAAGAAGCAAATGTTTTTGTTTATATTTTAAAAGTACATACGCATTACCTGACCGTCCTGTTGGTCTAGTGGTTAGTGACCCTGACTGCTAAGCCGGAGTTCGTGGGATCGATTCCCAGGACAAATATTGTGTGGCGAGCACGATCATTTGTTCTGTGTTCGGGTGTAATTTATCTTTAATATGTATCTATTTAGAAATATATAGGTATGTTTATCAGGAGGCTGGTTACCATAGTACAGGCTCTGCCTAGTTTGGGATCAGACTGTCGTGTGTAAGAAGTGTAAAGATATTTTTGTTATTACTATTTCTTTTAACCCATTTAACTTAGGTAAGTGGGTTCACGTCCTCGGTGATGTACTAAGTAGCTTACTTACTTGCTAGACTTACTTACTTAGCTGAATTCGTCTTAGAAGCTTAACATTCAAATCTTTCAAAGTAAAGCCAGTTATGAAGGTGGAGCGATGGAGTAAAACGTAAATGGTTCCATACATTTTTAACAATATATGCAGGATGAGTGTTTTAAGGTTTCCTAGTGAAATTTTTTCGAACCCTCACTTCCTCCTTTTTTCTTGTAATGTGCATATATAAGTTATAAGCATATACATATATTTATGTTATAAGTCCAGTGAATCAACACTACACCATTTATCATGCCCGAGCAATATGAAAAGTGCCAATTTATGACAAGTAAAATCGGGCCTTAAATCAATAAAAAGTTAACAGACCTCGTTTAGCTAATTACATTCACCAATTTGAAATAAAAACACTATAACAATAAGTTTTATTCAGTTTAGCTTTAAGAGGCGGATGGCTTATTTCTTATATTCTAAGGGACAACAACGAAGGACTAACAAAATAAATAAATTATTTTTAAGAACATTTTGTAAAGTGTGATTGCTATCTATACATCATCATCATCAGCCTATCGCAGTCCACTGCCGGACATAGGCCTCTCCGTACCTATTGTACCGTCTCCTCGCGTCCGATACGAATCAGGTACTCACCGAATGCGCAGTGGGTACCTGCGTCAGTCTTTAGATGACGGGACCTCCCTCCCTGCTTACCCAAGCTTCGAGGTTCGGCAGAACAGCACCGACAGCGCGTTGGCGTGCATTCCGCGGCTGTTCCAGCCGCACGCGCCACTTCATCAGTGCCTGTCGGTGACAGTTCCGCCTTATTTCGAACTCGTCCTGGTCTTCCAGCGGATCGCGCGAGTCTAGTTATAGACCCTAGCGTCCATATCTGCCAGGATGTCAAAGAGCGAGAATCGTGCCAGGACTGTCGAAGCCTCACATTTGGACGACACAAGACACCCCTATCTCGGCTCTATGGAAGCCATGCCCCCTAGCCAGTACTAGAGTATCGTCTGCGTAGCAGACGACGCTCAATCCTGGTGGAAGGCTGGTCCTCAGAATGGCAGCATACGCGAGGTTCCACAGAAGGAGTCCTGGGGAACCCTGCATGTGACTTCCCTTCGACATTGAATTCGACGTGAACCCATTTTTAACACACCCACTTACCTAAGTTAAATGGGCTAAAAGAAATAGTAATAACAAAAATATCTTCACACATCTTACACACGACACTCTGATCCCAAACTAGGCAGAGCCTGTACTATGGTAACCAGCCTCCTGATAAACATACATATATATTTCTAAATAAATAAATATTAAAGATAAATTACACCCGAACACAGAACAAATGATCGTGCTCGCCACACAATATTTGTCCTGGGAATCTGGGAATTTGTTTATTAAGTTGTAGAAGAATTTGCAGTTATTTTTTTACTTTTTGGTGCATTATAATTTCTTATGGAATAGTGTTTTTTGAAGTCGTTTTTTTTGTTAAAAATTTTGTTTTTCATTTTATTTTAAGTGAATCTGAAGTACACGTACTAATTTTTCTGAATATGGGTAGACCTAATAAACGTGCTGCTCATATGAGACAGCGCCGTTTAAATGAAACAAGCGAAGTCAAGGAGAAATGCCTATCTCAACAGAGGCAATCTACCTCGAGAACAATTTCAAAAGAGACTTGCGAAGAGCGCAAAACTAGAATTTCGAAAATGCGGCTTTGCATGCAAAAGATTTTGAACAGGGAAAATATAGAAAAACGTAGTCACCGTTTCGGCTTGATCAACGATCGTCTATCGAATGAGACGGAGAAGCAACGTGCAAACCGTCTCAGCTTCATCCACGATCGCTTATCACAAGAGATGGAGGATCAGTGTGCCTACCGTCTCGGCTTAATCCACGATCGTCTATCCAATGAGCTGGAGGAGCAACGTGGAGACCTACTCGGATTAATCCACGATCGTCTATCTAATGAAACGTAGGAGCAACGTGCCCACCGACTCGGATTGATTCACGATCGCTTATCAAACGAAACACCTGAAACTCGTTCACTTCGACTTATACAGACAGTTAGAATTGCCACAGATTGCACCCTTACTGTAAGCCGTTAATGAGTTCCATTGATCATTATATTCGACTACGACAATTACTTTCGTTACTGTCCCTGTGGTGACGGATTAAGAATACAGAATGTCACCACCCCTTTTCATCCCATGGGTGTCGTAAGAGTCGACTGAGGGAGCAAACTACGCAGGACAACAGCACTGAGCACCTATACCAATGAGTCTGACCGGCGTGGTATAGTAGGCTAAAACCTCTTTTCTAAGGAGAGGCCTATGCCCAGCAGTGGACTAGTAATGGCTATTGATGACAACAATTACTTGACCATAACGTCGTTACTGTAGGTGACTCAAATATCCGGTTAGCCTAAAAAGATTCAGCCGAGTATCGTTAATTTGCTCCTAAGAATTGAAGAGTTTCGTTACTTTGTCGTGGATCCCATGATCAGAATCTAACCAAACTCTCATCAAATTCTCATCTCATCAAAGCGGAGCGGGTCTATAAATATTGTATATAATTATAAAGATGTCCTGTAGCATTGTCTTATCATAATACTATAAATAATTACTCCACAGTGACACCACCTTTTTTTTATTTATTCTACATCATCAACTTCAACAACCTTTAGTGGTCTACTGTTGGACATAGGCCGGGGCGGATCGCTAGTATGGAAAGAAATACAGAAAAACAGTACAGGAAAAATACAGTAGTTGCATTGAAGTATTGAAGTGTAGACGTGTAACATCTAACATCTCATCTACCGCCTGACGGCTAACTATAGGACCGCGAGCGCTCTTTGGCAAATCATACTTATTTGATTTGACTAAAAAGCGCACACTGTGTAGAGCCGACAGAAGAATACATAACAAGAATAAATAACTTTTATAGTCTATCAAGTAGATAGAATATAATAAACTGTATTACACCATACATTCAAGGGTACATTAAATTAATGACCATTTACAAATGTCGGCCTTATCGTTAAAAAGCAATTCCTTATAGGCAACCTTTGGATGGACAAATCGACTCATAGATAGACAAATTCGTGGGTAGTTTAGTTAGTTAGTTCAGCAAACAGCATTAGATTTCGATAAAAAGTAAATAATAAAAGTAGTTGATTATAATTCAGTCAGTATATACTTATATAAATGCACATTAAAACATATCAATAATCTGTAAAACATATACACATTATGATAATATAATATAAATAAATACACACGTAATAAATACATAATATCTACATTTTCCTTACAGAGGAATACAACAGATAATTATAATATGGTTTAGGTAAAGAATAAATTAAGATTGACCATTTTCTTAAAGATAGCCAAAGTTTTGGCACGTTTTATAGCTATTGGCAAAGCATTCCATAGTCGGCCAGCCTGTACAATAAACGACCTACGGAAGAACGTGGCACAGTGAGTTGGTACTGCCGGTTCCAGAGATTCAGATGACCTCAAGGATCTTGAATGAGAGTCACCGAGGAAAACGTGTAAGCGTTCCTTTAAATGACCACAGCAAGTGGAGAAGTCGTTGCTTCGAAGCCGGCAGTCCTTTCGGAAGTTGAAAGATTCTATGGCCGGTTATAGGCTTCGCACTGACGAAATCGAGATGGCTCTTGGACAGCTCAAAAATGGAAAAGCCCCTGGAGAGGATGGCGTAACAACAGAGCTGCTAAAGGCTGGAGGTAAACCCGTAGTAAGGGAGCTCCAAGAGCTCTGTAACGCTGTCCTGTTTGAAGGGAGAACTCCGGAGGCGTGGAGTAGGAGTGTGGTCGTCTTGATCATCAAAAAGGGTGACAAGACCATGTTGAAGAACTATCCCTTCTAAGCCACGTCTACAAGCTGTTTTCGAGAGTCATCACGAACCGTCTTGCGCGAAGACTTGACGAATTCCAACCACCGGAGCAAGCTGGGTTTCGGAGCAGATATGGCACCATAGACTATATCCACACAGTGCGGCAGATTATACAGAAGACCGCAGAATATAATCAGCCTCTGTGTCTAGCATTCGTGGACTATGAAAAGGCCTTTGACTCAATCGAGATCTGGTCAGTTCTGGAGTCCCTGCAGCATTGCCAAGTAGATTGGCGATACATCCAAGTGATGAAATGTCTCTACGAAGCCGTCACCATGTCCGTCCAAGTACAGAATCAGCAAACAAGGCCTATACGTTGCATCGAGGAGTAAGACAAGGGGACGTTATTTTACCGAAATTGTTCACAAATGCATTGGAGGACATGTTGAAGACTGGAAAGGGCGTAGCATCAATATCAATGGCGAACACATTTCTCACTTGCGTTTTGGAGACGACATCGTCATCATGGCAGAGAAGCTGCAGGACCTACAGCAGATGCTGAATGACCTAGCTGACTCTTCTGTACGCAACGGCCTACGGATGAACTTGGATAAAGCCAAGGTCGTGTTCAATGAATATGTACTACCGAAACCGATTGCGGTACACGATGCCGTTCTCGAAGTTATTCAAAGTTATGTGTACCTCGGGCAGACATTGCAATTAGGTAGAAACAACTTCAAGGACAAGGTGAATAGAAGAATTCAGTTGAGTTGGGCAGCATTTGGGAAGGTACGTCGAGTCTTCTCAGCGTCGTTCCCACAGTGCCTTAAGACAAAGTCCTCAACGAGTGCGTCCTACCCGTCATGACATACGGAGCCGAAACGTGGACACTTACAGTACGGCTGGTCCACAAGTTCAAAGTCGCTCAACGTGCTATGGAAAGGGCTATGCTCGGCGTTTCTCTAAGGGATGATCGTATCAGGAATGAGGTGATCCGGCAGAGAACCAAGGTAACCGACATAGCCTAACGGATTAGCAAGCTGAAGTGTCCGTTGGGGAAAACCAGTTCTTGACTGGAGACCGCACCTCGGTAAACGTAGTGTAGGACGCCGACAGGCCAGGTGGAGTGACGATTTGCGCAAGATGGCTGGCAGGAGCTTGATGCGAGAAGCCCAAAATCTAGCTGACGTGCAATAGGAGAGGCCTGTGACCAGCAGTGGACTGCGATAGGCTGATGATGATGATCATGTTTCTTTAAATATGTTGGAGTAAAGTAT